CATCACCTTCCTCATGCCCACTCTTCCATCCAACCATGATGAATGGATGGTGCTATACCACCTTTACTCTCACATGCTATATTCCCTTGCCAAAATGGGCCTTCCATTCATTTAGTTAAATTCTGCCCATCCTTCAAAATTCAACACCGCATCCCATCTAGAAGGTGAGATATTTGATTTCACATATTCTTGATGCCTCTTCTCTATACCCTACTGCTCCATGGACAAAATTCAATCACAGCATGTCACTGGAAGCCAATTTACTTACCATTCCTTTATTATACTCTAAGCTCTCTAAAGGCATAGGAATGGGCTTTTCAACATGCAACCAGTGCCTAGCATATGCAGGGCCTTCAATTTATACTGAATAAACAAACAGGAGGAAACAAAAGACACCTTTATCTCACACTGATGAGAATTTATAATGTACTTGTGTATACTGCCTAAGAATTCACAATTCCTCAAGTAAAGTCAAGAATGGTGTAAATATCAACTTGATTATTCTCCAGATTCACTATCTGCACAGCTCTGCTCATGCACAGCCTTGAACAATCTAGGATTTCTCTGTAAATGTTCTAGCTGCTATACAGGGCACCAAAACATGACATAGGAATACAAATACACAATCATAGCTTTCTGGAGACAGAACACAATTATTTGGGGTTAAAAGTCTTTCCTTCCCACTAGAATGGTGGAACCAAATCTAAATTACGCACACAAGACTGTATATATAGTCGATGCCAGTCAATAGGGATTTGAAAGTAAAATTCTACCCAAAACTGAAAGACAATATAATCCACTATTAATTATCCATGACAGTTGGGGTGGCCAGGTACTTCTGTTAGGAAATCACTAATAATACAGGAATTCTTTATATGGCTTATGACATCTGCCAACTTAACTTCTTGTCAAAATTGCTAACAAGCAGACCAAGTAATTAAGTTTAATAATCTTTAATTTCACTCCGCTTGCTGCTATAGTTTGCTTGGACAGTAGTATTAAAGAAAAAGGTTCTTGATTCCTGGGCAATCATCCCTTATGTTGGACTATACTAAAAATCAATCAACCAACCAATAAAACAAAAAACAAAAAACGATTTCTCTCATACTGAAAGCTAGGATTTATTCATTCAAAACCATTTACTAAGCATGTGTTATATGTTAGGCACTATGCTGGGTGCTGGGGATATGAGCAAGAAGGACAAGTTCCTATCCTCCTAGTCCTCCCAGAAGGTGGGAGACATAAAAAAGTGGACAAGAAAATGAAAAGAAGTCATAATTAGGATCAATTCTAAATGAGTGATGGTGGAAAAAGTAAACGACCTACTGAATATAGGAGGTTTTCTCTGACTAAAATGTAATTTAAAAATTCTAAGAATCTGGCTCATTTTTGTTTCAGGCTCTAAGTTTCAGCAGTAAGAAAAAACTTAATTCTTTCACTAGATCCTCTCAGGTTTTAACATGTGTGTAAGTGATGTGGGAATCCTGTTAAAATGCAGAAATCCTGTTTAAGATGACGTCCATGGTTCAACTGTCCTTATTTCACTTAAATTATGGCATGGCAGCGTTTGAGGGGAGGGAAAAAACAAGTGCCAAGCACACAAAGGGCTCCCAAGTATGAGTAACACCTGACTGATACCAGCAAATTCCATAAATCTTCTCAGCCACAATTCTGATGGCTATCCCATCACAACTACACTCTTAAATGATGTGACTTTTTCCACATGGGGGTCTTTGGCCATGTTTCAGGTCTTTCATGAGGCACAGCATAATTTCTCCTATATCTGAGACACAAGCAAATGGGAGAGGCCAGGGACACAGGGAGAGACTGTTGAAACCTAAAGCCTGAGCCTAAAACTATGTCTTGTATTTTAATCCCATAGAGAACTTGGCCTCAGGGCAGGCACTAGCAGCTGTGAGGTCCATGGTGTGAAGAGGCATTAGCCTCTCATCAGACCAGATTATGTTCCACTGTGTTATTTCAGGTGACACGTGAATCAATGACATGTGAAGAATACAGTCTAATATCAATAAAGGAAAACCTCTGACCCAAATAATCTAATTGATTATCCACTATATACACCCTGTGAATTAGGGAACTCACGCAGCACTCAACTCATGATACACAAATAGATTACCTGAAGGAAACAGACAGCCTCTGATGTGTCATTTTCAGCTAAAATTCCTTTACTTTCATGGAATTGAGTTTGACTTTTTGAATATGCAAAAATCATTGTAAAAAGATTTAAGGGATTTTATGGTAACATTTACATTGTTTTACTTAATATTTTTAAAAGAATAGTAAACTGTAGGAAAAAAGAAACTTGGCATCTGAACATAAATCTCAAAAGCACTGTAAATTAAATCTATTCCATAAAAGAAAGTAATCAATAAGGCTTCCTAGGCTAGTCTTCCAAGACTTTTAAAAAAAGTGTGCTAGGTAAAGAAGCAAATCCCTAGGCACAAAAGCAAATACCCAAAAACTAAAATAATGGCCAAAGCAATGTTAAAGCTTGAAGAATGACAGATGCAGTCATTATAAGCTATAAAACACATCCTAAAAGAAAGGAAATGTTTGCAGAAATATACTTGTTGGTATCACTCAGTACTTCCCGCCTCCTGTTTTCATTACTAGAACAACATTTCTTCTTTGGCCCCACCCTCTACTGCTGTCCAGCCCTTTCTGGCCCCCTGCCAGGGGATTCTCCAGGAGATGTGTGCCCCCCAGGATACTGCACAGCCAACTTACTCAGAACTGCTGTTGCTGCTGTGGCTCAGAGGGTCAGTGGGACGGCTGGAATCTAGGACGTGGATGCCCAGTGAGTTGATTGCTCGCATTAAAATAGTCACCATTGCCTCTACTGGAAGCTTCTCAAGAACAATAACCCTACAGCGGCTCAGAAGAGCGGCATTGACTTGAAAGGAAGGGTTTTCCGTGGTTGCCCCAATCAGAGTGATTGTCCCACATTCCACGTGAGGAAGGAAAGTGTCCTAATCATGGGAGGAAAACAGAAGAAATTGATTCCTGTCAATAACAACCTTCAGAATCCTACGTAAGTTGGCTATCCATTCCTTCCTTTTCCTAATTTTAATTTCAGGAATAGCAGCTTTATATTCATTGAATATGGAAGCAACATTGGGAGAGCACAATGAATGCTTTTTACGCCTACAACACATCTTCTAGAATGCCAATGTCTAAGCCTGGTCTCTCTCTTGCTGGTAGACTAATAGCTTAAAGTAGAATTCCGCTTTAGTTTCAACATAAATGATTTCTTTACTCAGAAAAGTATCTTCTATTTTAAGGCCAAACTGACATAGTTTAAATATAGCAGTTATTTATTTACAGAAGTCTAAGGAAACGCAAAACCATTAATATTTCCAAAATCCTCTTCCACTGCAAGTACTCAATCATATTGCTATTCTTCCTAACAAACTTGGTAAATATATATCAATGAACATGTAACCAGAGGATGCTGTTTTATGGGTAAGAAATGCTAAGATGAGTCAATGGTCCAATATGAAACCTACAGGGCTAACACACACTCAGAACCTTCTAAGGCAGCGGTTCTCAACCTTCCTAATGCTGCGACCCCTTAATACAATTCCTCATGTTATGGTGACCCCCAACCATACAATTATTTTCGTTGCTACTCTATAACTGTAATTTTGCTACTGTTATGAATNCTCTTGAGATGATCAGAGAAAAGCCCTAGTCTCCCAGTCAAGCCACAGCACTTTTACTTCAGGACAGAAGCCACTCCAACTCTTGCATCCAACTCTTGGAACTCTGCCTAGTTGGACAGTAACAGTGCAAACATGGCTTCTCATTTCATTCTCTTCATGTCCACAAACTAATCACTATTATCTGGTCCACAAACAACTGACTCTTTAGGGGTGTTTTTGAATACACGTCATCTGATATGGAATCGCCAATCCTTCAAAGCAGCAAGTACTGCAGGGTGATTAAACACCAGTTTACTTTCTCATTTTCAGCAGCACAAGCTCATCAGATCATAGACCATGGATTTTCTGGTCTCCAAAATTAACCCAGTGCACAGATAACATGCTTCACTGTACCATGTAACCAAAATGCATATAGAGCAAAATACACAAAAACTGTTGATTACTCATACAAACCAAAGGAACTATGGGATAGATAATTCAACATAAATTACCAGCTTACCTCTATCTTTCTCTTCACAACCAAATCACAATTGAGTATTCGAGTCTAGAGTACTATTTTGTGGATGTCACACTAAAGCTGGAGGGCAGGGGGTTGGGGAGATATGCTATTCTTTGGCCCTTCTTTCCTGTTGCCTGGAATTCAAATATAATGGCTAGATCCTCAGTAGCACGTTGGGGCATGAGGCAGAACCCCTGTGCTGAAGATAGTAAAGCAGAAAGACAAGAGCCCAGGTCCCTGACAATACTGTGACGTTGGCCAGAGCTGCATTTTTTATGCCTGTGGACCTTCAGACTCTCACATGAGAAAGAAAGTTCCATCTTTTTTGTGGCACACTTCACTTGACTTTTTCCTGTTGTATGCAGCCAAACCTAACCCTAATGGGTGTGGTAACATCCAGCACTCCCTCCTCGCTGGAGCGCTTCTTTGTGGGCACCCTCAGGTTTTCCTCCTACCTTCTGGATTTGTTTCCTTAGGCTCCTCTTCCTCTGCCACCCAATAAATGCTGACAAGTCCTATACTTACTACGCTTAGCTCCCGGCTCTCTCCAGCTCACCTATGGGAATTATTCACATGCATGGACTATACTATCTCTGAAATGCTGGTGGCCCCCAATCTGTCTCAAACCTTTCCACTGCTCTCCTGACTTTCTAGATCTGGGACCTCTCTATGTGAACCCACACACTAAACTCCACACCCCCCTCTGCTCCTCTTCCTATCTTTCTTGTTCAAAAGTACAACTATTTGCCCAGTCACCAGATCGGAGAGTCATCTTAGACACTCCTTACCTCTCCTCACACCTAGGCCTACAGACCCGACTTTGCTATTTCTCAGTGCAGCTCTGGCCTTTGTTCAAGTCATCTGCA